CATCAATCTGGAATAATCACTTAGCTTTAAAACGACATCGCTGAACAATGTTAAAGGAGTCTCAGCTGAACTTTTAGAGGTAAAATGCCCTTGAAGTGTACGCCTATTGTGGGTTTTGTGCAACAAAATGGCTTCAGTTTGGTGTCCGCGTCCGCTTAACAGAGGTGTCCGCTGAATGCAGGTTTATTTTACAGTAAATGTGGGAAGAAAATTTGGGGACTCAAGCTGGTGTCCGCTTAATATGGGGTCCGCTTAATACAGGTTTCACTGTATTCAGTCACGTGACGCATTAAGACCAATCTCGTGCGAGCGAAAATAATTGAGGGATTATAACTTCAGATACTTGTACTTGGACATTATTTGTTCCGAGAAACGAGCAATTTTTCTGAAAGCGTAGCTCGTGGAAAATTGTGAGCTTTGAGGAACAGATAATGTCCAAGGACAAATATCCGAGCATATTTTCGTGCCAAATGGAGGCTGTTGTTTTTATTATCCTTCAAATATTTTTCGCAACACGCGCAATTTTGAAAATTCTGTAGTGTAGCAGCTCTCGTAAGCTTGTAATTCTATTTGTCGTCATTGTAGCAGCTGTTGTTGTTTTGGGGCTTGGGGGCATTGTTTCTGGTGTGTGTCCTATTGTCCTCTGAAGGGTTTCAAGCCATTCATGTGAGACTTACGAGAGCTGCAGCATGACCCTGAAAATTGGGAAATATTTCACGGATATAGGGCTTTCCACAAGTTGCTCGAGATTTCCCAAAAAGTTACGCGCAATTTGCCAAGAAGTTGCTCAAAAGTTGCTCAAAAAAGTCAAAAGTTGCTTTTTGTAACGAAAGTTGCTCAAAAGTTGCTCAAAAAACAAATTTTTTTGTTGTTGCTCTCTTCCTTAGAAAAATGTACAAATTTGCCCAACAAAAGTAAAATTTCTAAGCTGCGATTTTTGTACAATTTTGCGGCGTAACCAGCATATTGCTAAATAACTTTGTCCTCAGTTAAAACCAAAATATTTATGAGTAAAGACTACGCATGAATTTATTAATATTAATCTTGTAAAAATTCTTAACCTGAGACACTCGAGTGAGTCGATTTGAACCTTTGTCCGCCATTTTGAATTTTCTTTAAAAAAATCCGCTGACCTAGCAGCCGGCTGCATGCATCTTGCACCCAGATCTGCCAGGGGGAGAGGGGAACTGGCTCCTTTTTCAAAGGAAATTCATAAATTGTCTACTAAAACATTGTGAAATATGGAAGCAAGGCTAATTTAAGCACTAAATGCTGCTTCGATTTCTCAGAATTGATAGAAAACTAGAAATTTCTCAAAATGCAAAAAGTTGCTCGGAACGAAAAGAGTTGCTCGACATAGAAGAGAAGTTACCAAAAAGTTGCCGAGCAACTTGTGGAAAACCCTAATTTCCCCCATTTAGTCACGTGATACGTGATGGGTTATGAAGCCCCGGCCAAACGATCGCAACATATGAACACAACATATTCCAACATTGTTGGCCCAGCATTTGCAAGCTCCGGCCAAACGATGGCAACATTTCAGCACAAGGATTCGCAACACTGTCGGGCGCAACATTTTGCGTGCGTTTGGCCGGAGCTTACAAATACTAGGCCAGCAATGTTGTGATATGTTGCGTTGAACTGTGGCAATATCACACTAGTAGACATGGTCTAAAGAAGATCCTACTTCAAGTGGTGGAACTGTTTCGCTGTAGGGTGCGGACTCTTTGGCAGTGTTTCCATCAGTGAATATCAGAAGTACTTGGCTATGTTTTCGTCTGACATGTTCCCTTTGAAACATCTCATCATGCGCCTTCATTAGCGCCAGATCCGTCCGAGTGCCAGCGTAAAGTTTGTCTTTTACGTTGTCGATGCGGTCCTTTACAGCCTGGTTGCTAAAATAGCGCGCATCACTTAGATTAAACAGAAGACTGGCCGTATTAGCAAAGAAAATCAAGGACACATGGGTTCCATTTTCGCTGATGTTGAAGTTATCCAAAAACGTCTTCAGATCGTTCTTCACCGTTATGAAGTTTTGCTTTTTGACACTCCTTGATCTGTCCACTATGATTCCCAGATCTACGCCTTTCTGGCAGGGATTTTCTGAAATGAACAAAACTGTGTCATTTAAACCTTTGACTCTAAGAGATTTTCCTTGAAAACGGCACTTTCAACGCTGAAGACACCTTTAATGTCATTTGCTGACTGTTATCTCGTGTCATTGTCGGCAAACTCTCCAAAACCTTTCAATATGGTACACAAATCAACACTTTTGAGATTTGCGAGTGTTTTGCTTTATTGTTTCGTCATTTTCTCTCTAAATTTCTCTTTTTGACCGGCCTTTTAGTCGCCTCTGTGCGTGGAAGCGTTTCCGCCCAAACCCAAAGGTGAATAATGGTGTCAGTGCTGGGAAATTTTTTCATTTCAGTTTTCAGATAATATATTCTTCCCTAAATGTCGTTTATGTCTGTCGTAATTCATTCCTTCATACTTGTTTAGGTATGATTTCTTCCATTGATGTTTTGGTGTTAAAGAGTCAAACAGTGTCGTTTCAGACAGGAAGTTACACTATGGAAAAAAAAATGGAAGGGATTGCAACTCCCACTTTAACTCCTTTCGTACGCAAAATACAAATTTTCACTCTTGCAGTTATGACACCCTACAGCGTCTAAGCGACTTGTAAGCTGACCGCGCCCCAAAATGAAAATGTCAGAAATAAGCTATGATCATGATCTGTTCATGCTTTAACATGAATATTCTCGCCAAAGATTAAACGGCACGTCTTTATCAGCAGCTGTCGGAGAGAAAAAGCGTATTTTGTTTGTCAACTGCTTAATTAAGCTTTGATGCAAGATTGACAGCTGCAGGCGGTGAGAATTAGGCCAGGCGCCTCATTCAGGAATACATTTTGTAGTAAAAAGAAACGTGCTCATACTGCTTTAGCTTTCGTTAGTAGGGGAGGGGGGGAGGAAGTTAGTAACACTTTAAGTCCATACCTCTTCTATCACATTCTATATATTAAGCCCAGGTTTTTGTGCAAAGTGTTTCTAGTGGGCAATGTAAATACTTCGAATTGCTTGCCTTTTTCGGAAAGGCGGGTGCTCAGTCAATTTCCGCTTACTGTATAGATATCCCACAATGGTTGAATCGCGTTTGTTTACTTTGTCATGAAGGCCAAGAGAATTGTAAATAATAATAATTCTGTGTATTATCTTCTGCTTCCTTATTAAAATGATAAATAATTAAACGCTCACCATTTTCTTGGCCTTTCACAGCTCCTGGAGAGAAAATAAATAAATGAGGTTGTGATTTCCACGAGCATATCATGAATAAAATGAATTAAATTGAAACAAGAAGACAATACAAAAATTAACAAATAGGGAAACCAAAATAAAATGCATATTAATTCTTGCCAGATTTAGTGATAAGCAATCTTGAGGTCTTCTCCTTAATCACTTTATTCCAGAAATAATATTTTCTATTCGCTACTAGAATACCTGGAAAACCAAAGCGGAATATTTGGTTCAATGGAAAGCACCCTTTATGAACGTGTGTTCTAATCATCAATCAGCAGTTTATTACTGAATCAGTCAATCAATCAATCAATCAACCAAACCACCAATCAAAAAAAACAATCAAACAAATAATCAATCCATCAATCAATCAATTAATCAATCAATCAAGCAATCAATCAACCAAACAACCAAACAATCAACCAAACAACCATTAATCAATCAATCAATCGATCAACCAACCAAACGATCAATTAATCAAACAATCCATTAATCAATCAATCAGTCAATCAACCAAGCAACCAATCAATCAATCAATTCATAACTCAATCAATCAATCAATCAACCAACCAATCAATCATTCGATCAATCGATCAACCAAACATTTAATTAATCAAACAATTCATTAATCAATCAATCAAATCATCAAACAATCAATCAATCGATCAATCAACCAAGCAACCAATTAATTAACCAATCCATTAATCAATCAATCAACCAATCAATCAAACAAACAATCAATCCATCCATCCATCAATACATCAATCAATCAAACAATGAATCAATCATTCAATCAATCCATCAATCAATCAATCAATCAACCAATCAATCAGTCAATCAATCAATCAATCCATCAATCAATTAATTAATCAATCAATCAATCAGTCAACCAATCAATCTCTCCATCCATCCATCAATCAATCAAACAATCAACTAAACAGCCAGTTAATCAATCAATCCATTAATCAATCAACCAACCAACCAAACAATCGATCAATCAATCAATCAAACAATCAATCAATCGATCAATCAATCAACCAAACAACCAATTAATCAATCAATCCATTAGTGCGGTTTTCAATTGAGTGTCGAAAGTAATTAGACAATTAGTTTGGTTTTGGTTTTACTACGGTTTGAGCTTGACTAAGGTGTCTAATTGGTAAGAAGTTGGTTTGGTTTCGGTTTTACGACACTCAATTGAAAACCGCTCTAATCAATCAATCAATCAATCAATCAACCAAACAATCAATTAATCTAACTATCAGTTAATTAATCAATCAATCAGTCAGTCAGTCAATCGATTAACCAATCAATCAGCCAAAACTTCAGTAACATGTCTGTCTGAGCTAGCCGTGGGGAAACTCACCTCCATCAATTGGGGACAGTTAATCATGATTTAATTAAAAGCTTATTTGCAATGAACCATTAGGAGCCTAGGTAGACCCTTAGCACCTAAATGATACATATCAATTAACTATCAAAAACTTAGTTAAAAAAAACCTGAAATCCTGATAAAAAAAAGTCATTCTGTTATGAGTTACAAAGAATGAAATTCGAGCAATTGTCATCGTCTACCAACACACTTAAATCGCATTCACGAATACGAAACTTAAAACTGCCTAGTGCTGTCGCCTGGTAACCTATTCTACAACATTGGTCTCGGGTAGGTAAGCGAATGCTTGCCATACCTGAGGATGGCGAACTCTGCTACCTTTGTAGGATACGCTTGTACGTTTATATTTTTCTTTCCGTATAGTTATATATTAGTTGTTAAAATCCAGCTCATTTTTCCTAGATTTGCTTTTGTTTAATCTTAATAGAGGACCCTTCTGTAAACCATCTTTGTGACGAAGGCCTCCTCATTAAAGATTATTTTGTCACATTATTCAGGGGTGAGCAGTCATATGAAACAGGTCACATACTTTGGTGGAGCAAATTTTATGTTTCACCTCATTCATAAGGATAGTAATATCTTGCAGTCTTCTCAGATTCTGTAACGTAATTAGATCACTTCTGTCCAGAAGACAAAAACGCTTCCAACTTATATTACTTACAACTTACTACAACCGTAGTTGACTTACCATAAATTGAAGCCAGTACCATGAAGACTCCAAAATACAAATTGAGATACATAGTCATCTGAGAAAAAAACAAACACAAAAATGCAATAGTTGTAATAAAAAAAAAAAACATGAACAAGGATCTTGTTGGTTTCCACAACCAAAAGTATCCATTTCACTATAACTGCATTTCCCGCTTGCAAACAGAAGGGCTTTACATAATTATACCTCTTCCTTGCTGGTTATCAGTTAAGACAGAGTGAACTTTGAATTCGACCAAAATTTTGGTTTAGATTTTTGGAAATTTCCAATTAATGGAGAATGGAACTTACAGCATTTTCCGAAATTTCCGCAAAAGAGGAGGACCTCGCGAGGTGTACCTAAATTAGCGAAACATTCTTATCAAGAATCTCCGTTGTATTTGAATTTCCTTTGATAATTTCCGGTATTTTCGGTGGAATGGATCTCATTTCTTAA